TTTTCATAAGGCCAAGAAGATGGGTCTAATAAATCAAGATAATGAAAACTGCTTTGTTTTTAATAAAAGAAAAACTCATTATTTTTAGTAGCATATTCCTTGGGAAGGCTTCAAATTTATTAAGTGAAATGTATTAAATTTATCTGATTTAAAATTTTTTAAAGATTTATTTATTTATGCATACAAGAACTGGGTACAGGTTAGCAATGTGGGGGAGGGGGTAAGAGGATTCATCACAGACAGGGCAGAGAGCAGAATAGGCAGACTGACTGAAATACACTGCTGAGGGGAGCTGCGGGAGATAGGAGAGGTCTGCCAGCCATACTATATGGGGCACCTCCCTGGCTGGGGATCAAACTCTGCAGTGACTGTGGCTAGCTTCATAGTGCTGTGCTTTAACCCCTTGTGCCACCAGGGAGGACCCCGAATTTAATTTTTTTTTTAAGATTTATTTATTTATTCACACAGAACTGGGATACAGACAGAGATGCCGAGGGTGAGAGGATTCACCAGAGACAGAGTGGGGAGCAGAACAGGCAGATCAGTGAAGTACACTGCTGAGGGGAGCAGCGGGCGGGTCAGGAGAGGTCTGCCACGCCATTTGGGTCACCTCCGGGGCAGGCAGGGATCGAACTCAGGCAGAATCGGCTTAAGCTTCTTAGTGCTGTGCTTTTAACCTGCTGTGCCATGAGGGAGGGCCTGATTTAAATTTTTAACAAAAAATTCATTCAAGTTTTCTGGTATCAATCTTTAATTTTTTTCAAGTTTTATATGATGTATTTGATTTTTTTTTCCTGAGTACCAGTTGACCTTGATTGTAAGGTGAGTGGAAGTAATGAAAAATCTTCAAAGAGACCAATTACTAAAGCAGAGTTTTTAAAAAAACTGTTTGCTAGTATCTTTGCAAACTAGAATAAAAACAAGAAAATGTACACATAAGGAAGGATATGCCTAACATACAGCCGTGACAATTGGTAAACTATTTCCCACTCAATTCCAGTACTTGTTCAGTCTTAAACATTTCAATTTCTTTAGCTATAGTTTCTAAGTCAATTTTATTTTTTTATTGGACTAGTAATCAATTTTATCCATAATATTATAAAATAAGTGACTTACTTTATTTCAAATATGAATTACAACTGATGACTTAAAGTATCAAATGATGACTTGAAAATTTTGTAACAAATTTGTTCTACTCTAGACTTCTACTATATTATAAAGCACAAAATGCAATTAAGTTTACTTTTAAATATTCATTACCAAAGTCACAATCATTTAGAGTAACAATAATGTATCAGAAAGACAATCTGCAGTGGCTAACAATTGTTTTCAAACAAATCTCATTATTACTATTGACACTGGTACAGAAATTGATTCAACTGTGTGCTAGAATCAGTTGTGGAAAAATACGAGGTGCTGTTCTTTAAAAATGGACATGTCTGGGCCCTCCCTGGTGGTGCAAAGGATTAAGGCATTGCATTATGAAGATCTCTGAAACCACTGCAGCACCAGTTTGATCCCCCACCAGGGAGCTGACCCACATGGCTGGCAGACCTCTTCTGACCTGCCGGCTGCTCCCCTCAGCAGTGTACTTCATCCATCTGCCTGTTCTGCTCCCCACTCTGTCTCTGGTGAATCCTTTCACCCACCACACCTCTGGCCTGTACCCCAGTTCTGTAAGCATAAATCTTTTTTTAAAAAATGGGGATGCCTAAGAAACTATAGCACATATTGGGCATTCTCATATAATGTTCTTAAATATCTTCATATTTCTTTTGGAATATGTTCTTCTATTCTGGTAGCACTGTATTGTATATGTAAATAGGTGCCTGTACTCACCCCATTTTTCTCTTACTCTACTGCCCCCTCATGAGATAAAGACTATACTATGTTACATTAAACTGTAAGTATTTCAAACTTCTATGACAGGATCAGTATTTTCATTATTTAGCTATGTACTAAACTGGAAATTGAGTCATTATTCCATTATTCTTTAAACAAATCTTGAGTTTTAGTAATGTTTAGAAATACTGTGTTCCTGGCCCTCCCTGGTGGTGCAGCGGGTGAAAGCACTGTACTAAGAAGCTTAAGCCACTTCCCCATGAGTTTGATCCCCGTCTGCTCCAGAGGAGAGCCACATGGCGTGGCAGACCTCTCCTGATGCACCCGCTGTTCCCCTCAGCAGTGTACTTCATTGATCTGCCTGTTCTGCTCCCCACTCTGTCTCTGGTGAAGCCTCTCACCCTCCACATCTCTGGCCTGTACCCCAGTTCTGTATGAATAAGTAAATCTTTAAAAAAAGAAAAAGAAATATTGTGTTCCAAAATTTATTATTTATGTTTTGTAGAAAATTTTGCAGAACAGTTTTATTAACACCACTTTGGGTTACTAAATATGCCCTCCATTCCTTAGACCTATGAACATGCTTTTCTGCTATCATTACTAAATGCTGGCACATTACTAAATGCTGACAAATATTCCTTACAGTCCAATTCACCTTATTTTATTTTAAGCTATTTGTACTGTTCTGAGAATATTAACACTTTTTTTTTTCATTCTAACAACCAGGAAGCACGAGTTTTTTTCTATCTCTTCCTTTGATGAACATAATGGCCTTTCTTTAATGGCTAACTTTGCCCCAGCTTCACTCAATTCTGAAATTTGCTCTCATTAGTTTAGGTGTTCACAATTTTCACTCCTATCATTATTTTCTGTATCTATATTAAACTTCTTCAGATTTAAAAATATAGTAAGTCACTCATTATTTGGAAATTTTAGAAACCAGAATCTGAAAAATAATTTTACATTAGTAAAATTCACAACATATTAATGATTTTCATATGATTTTAGAAATAGCATGACTTTTAAACTAAAATACTTGTGGGTTTTTTTCCCAGTATTTAAACAATGTCTTTAATGTGATTTGTTTCTTGAAAATCCACTGTTTTGATAATTCTTTTTCGAAGAGTTCAAAATCTATCAATAAATATTTGGTTATGATTTGAAGGAGTTGCTCACATCACTGCCAAAGAAGTGCACTTCTGACATAGACATTGGCTGACATTTTCATTTAAGTTAATCAGGTGAGCAAAAGCAAAATAAGGAAGAAGTGTATGAAACTTTATTCATTTATCAATGTCATGAGCAAACTTCCTTGACGAATTGGATAAGCATTTTTGAATACTAAGAATACTTCCTCAATTTCTTGTGCTGCTCATAAAGGTGAGCAGCCATGATATATGACGCACCTCTTAATTAACACACAAGTTTAATTTTTCATTATCAACGTTTGCTCCTATAGCCTACCCCTTATTTTTGTAAAGAAATCTGTACTGGCACATGGTCAGGCCAGTTCTTGATGTAAGAGGTAAGTGGCTGTGACAGAGACCTAAGTCCCAGAAAGTCTAAAACATTTACGAGTTGGCCATTTACAGAAAAAGTTGCAGATACTTAGTCTAGAAAAAAGCCAACACATAACACTTGCCAATTTCCTAAAGTATTTCTATAGCAATTTAATGCTGGAAATGTGACATATCTTAACAGAGGTAGGTGAGAAGAGACATACAACATTATATCGCAATTTTACCACACAGATAAAATAGACAACCTCAAGAGCAGAATTATTCCTTTCTTAAAACTTATTTTGTAAGAAGGTAATCAGCCTTGCGTTTAAACATAATTTGATTATGTATTTATATGATTTGCTTTTGCTTTTTTTTTTTTTTAAGATTTATTTATGCTTACAGAACTGGAGTACAGGCCAGAGGTGTGGGGTGAGAGGATTCACCAGAGACAGTGGGGAGCGGAACAGGCCAACTGACCAAGTACACGACTGAAGGGAACATGGGGCAGGTCAAGAGAGATCTGCTGTGCCATGTGGGTCACTCCCTGGTGGGGGGGTCGATGTCCTGCTGCAGTGGCTTCCGAGAGCTTCATAATATGGTTCCTTAACTCGGTGCACCACCAGGGAGAGCCCTGATTTGCTTTTTAATGTGGGTTTGCTTAACAACTGGCTCATAAAATTCCTGCACATTTAGCAATCAGTTGTAAACCGGTAATTGCCAACTGTGGTGTTCGAATAGCTTTATTTCCAAAAGTGCTGAAGGGAGGTTTTTGGGAAAATAAGTAATTTGCCTCGTTCGAAGGGATGAAATGGAGGGAACTTCAAATACAGTTCTAACACTCTGTCCCAAGTTAAACTCCTGAATGCTCCTCGTGGAGAATAAAAGTCCTTATTAGCCTGACTTACGTTTAAAAAAAAAAATCTCGAGGGCCCGCCATGACTCCACGTACGCGAGGATGCACTTTGGAGCCGCAGCGTGCACGGACCTCCTGCACACCGGTTCCCATGCTGCCTGGCGGGTTTTCTGGATGTGCCACCGACCCAGACAGCAGTGCAGCCCAGGGATTTCAAAGCCGAGGGGAACAACTGATGGGTCTGTCACCTGCTGCTGACATTCCTGAACACGTTTTCCCTAACGGCTCAGACACTCAGACGTGCCAACAGGCGTTTCCCACCAGATCCCCTTGGCGGAAGCCTCAGACCACACGAGTTCAGAAAACCTGTGTTCTGAACCCGGACTAGACTCAGGGTGCGGGCACAAAGGACACCCGGCGAGCCAGGGCGGCCGCACGTTTGGCCCCGGCGGGGGCGGCGGCGGCGGCGGGCGAGCCGCCCCGCAGTCCTCGGAACTTTTCACACAGCTCTTGTTCCAGGTGGCCCAAGGTTACAACTTGGCCACTGTCTCAGGAAGGGGGCACCTTATGGGGACGGACACTCAGCCAAGTTCTCTAGGAAAAGCAGTGGGCAACGAGGGCTAACAATAACGGTTGGCGTTTGGGAGGTCGCCCCTCGTCCAGCCCCTTCGATTCCCTGAGGAAATAGCTCCGCGGAGGTGAGGCGACTTTACGAAGGTCAAGCGGCCGAGCCGGGGCCGGGGGCAGCTCCTTCCACTGGAGCTTCGAGGCCCGGCCTGCGCCGCGTCCCTGCACAAACTTACCCCGGAAGCACCAGGAACCTGGCTGGGGACTGGCCTACAGTTGAGCTTAGGACAGAGGCCGCTCCAGAGTCAAACGCGGTGACTCTGAGTCAGAGGGCTAAGCCTCAGGAGAGAGCACGAAGCTCAAGGCCGAGAAGCGCGGGGCTACCCCGACACCGCTGAAGAGTTAGACGCCGCCCGGGGGGAGGCTTTCAGTCACGCCT